TATGAAAGAAACTTGATTTCTGAAAATCCTTAAGAGACTGCTTTCTTGATTCAGCTAGAGAAATACTATAGTCAAAACTATTGAGTGAATTTTGTTTACAAATAGGTGAATTATATTTTGTGTATTTAAAGTGCTGTGACATAGTGTTTAAGAGTTTGGTTCAGTTTTCACAGATTGATTTTGTCTTATGAATTTCTTAAATATGTTCATGTATAATACTTGATCAAAATATTTTTGGGTTTTTTATTTTGTTTTAATGGGTTAGAAAATGTGTTTACAATCTTGGTCTTATATGATCACCAATGAAATAGTAACTTTCAGGTTTATATCAGTATGAGCTGACTTTAACTGAGTTGTTTGGGATAGGGAAGAAGCAGTCCCTCTACAGTATACAACTACTGCTTGCCAGCTGGATCAAAATAATCGTGTTTTATGAAAATACCTCCCTTAAGCAGTGTTAAGGTTGGTTTGCAGTGTGTAAGTGGCACATTGAACTGGAAGTTTTCTTGAAAGCGGCTTCATCTATTAAGAAGCAATTTTCAAATTGTAGCAAATTATATTATCCCCTCTTTTAAATAAACAGTTGTTATATGCTGATGTTTCTTAAAATAACTAAAATGTTCCTCTTAATGTGATTTTAAGTGGAGTTATTTGTAAGTCCTTTCTTAATAGTAGTAAAGAATCTTCTAGAGGGAAATATTTGTGCTTTTAGGGATAATCTTCCTTGTGCCTCTCACTACATCCCTAAGTGGGTGTGACTTTTGTTATTACCACATGCTTTATTAGTATATTTCACAAATTTACTTTTAAATATTATTTTAGATACTGTGTAACATGTGCAATTCAGAATAATTTTATAACAGGTCATGAAAAACATAACTTTAGTTAGGATTCACAATATTTGTTCTCCACATAATGAGAGAATGAATGAGCCTTTGGAGATACTGATACAAAGCAATTATTTTTTGCAATGTTGAATGTGTTTTTTAATTTGATTCTTTTTTTTTCCCCTGATAGGGCACTACCTGCCATATCATCTTGTATTACTTTTTGATGTAAAGCAACTAATATTTACACTATGCCATATTTTTTTTAATCATAGTTGTAAATTATGAAAGATCCTTGAATTTTCTACAGATCTACAACTACTAATGTAACAGACAAGGGCAATCTTGGTATTTAAATCTGAGCATGGCAGTTCTACCATAAAAAGTACTCTATTTTTCTAATTTCTAGGATTTTTAAAATAACATTTCTGTAAGTCTGACATACTAATAGTCACTCAAGCAGTACCATTTATTTTAGTTTGCATATATTTTCAGTTTTTAATTTAATGTAATGTATTGAGTCTAATAGACTGTTTTGCAATAATTAGAATAAAGATTTATTTCTTGTAATCGAAGATGCATAACAGCTATTATCTAGGGGACCACCAAATGTGATTTCAAGATTTTGTTAACTATTACAAATGTAATCCTTACATAGAAATTTTAATTTTGTAAAGTAGTGTATAATATTGTAATATTAAATTCTTGTTCTCAAATTCAAATATGTATTGATCTTCAATGTGCTGTGTTAAATCTTGCTTCTCTGAAATGCTGGAGACAAGATTTGTCTTCCTTTTTACAGTTTGTAATTTTCACTGTTTTATTCCTGTAAAAAAAAAAAAAGTCACTTGTAACCCATGCAAACAATCGTTTGATCTGTGCTAACTTATCAACTTGGTTATTCAATAAAGTTAATTGAAAGAGCTTATATATAGTGACTAGTTATCTAAAGTGATATGAGCCTGGTACGGTGGCCCACACCTGTAATCCCAGCAGTTTGGGAGGCCCAGGTGTAAGGATCACTTGAGGCCTGGAGTTGAAGAACTGTCTGGGCCAGATGGCGAAACCTTGTCTCTACAAAATAGTTTTTAAAAGTAGGCTGGGCGTGGTGGCTCAACGCCTGTAATCTGAGCATTTTGGGAGGCCAAGGCAGGTGGATCACCTGAGGTCAGGAGTTCAAGACCAGCCTGGCCAACATGGTGAAACCCCATTTCTACAAAAAATACAAAAACAGCCAGGCATGGTGGCATGTGCCTGTAATCCCAGCTACTCGGGAGACTGAGGCAGGAGAATCACTTGAACCCTGGCCAAGGTTGCAGTGAGCCAAGATCGCACCACTGCACGCTAGCTTGGGGAACAAGAGCAAAACTCCACCTCCAAAAAAAAAAAAGGGCCAGGCACGGTGGCTCACTCCTGTAATCCCAAAACTTTGAGAGGCTGAGGCAGGCAGATCACCTGAGGTCAGGAGTTCGAGACCACCCTGGCCAACATGGTGAAACCATGTTTCTTCTAAAAATACAAAAATTAGCTGGGCATGGTGCCGGGTGCCTGTAATCCTAACTACTTGAGAGTCTGAGGCATGAGAATTGCTTGAATTCGAGAGGCAGAGGTTGCAGGGAGCTGAGATTGCGCCACTGTACTCCAGCCTGGGCGACATAGCGAGACTCTTGTCTCAAAAAAAAAAAAAAAAAAAGGCCAGGCATGGTGGCTCACGCCTGCAATCCCAGCACTTTGGGAGGCCAAGGCAGGTGGATCACAAGGCCAGGAGTTTGAGACCAGCCTGGCCAACATAGTGAAACCCCGTCTGTACTAAAAATACAAAAAATTAGCTGGGCATGGTGGTGGGCACCTGTAACCCCAGCTACTTGGGAGGCTGAGGCAGAAGAACTGCTTGAACCTGGGAAGCAGAGGTTGCAGTGAGCTGAGATCACGCCACCGCACTCCAGCCTGGGTGACAGTGTGAGACTCAGTCTCAAAAAAAAAAAAAAAAAAAAGTGGCGGGGCATGGTGACTCACGCTTGTAGTCCCAGGTACTCAGGAGACTGAGGCGGGGGGGATCCCTTGAGACTAGGAGTGTGAAACTGCAATGAACCATGATTGTACCACTGCATGCCAGCCAGGGCAAGAAAGCAAGACCCTGTCTCTTTAAGTAAAAAGTGACATGAATAACTTGCCAATTACTAAGTAGTGCTATGTTGTGCATCCAAATTATGTCAATGAAAAACTAGTGCTGAAGGTTCTTTAAATAGCCTAAGTAGATGTCTGGGAGGCCATAAACCGAATTCTTGATGCTTGCTCCTCAAGGATAGCTGGGTTTGAAATTCTATATCAAAGGTTGTTTTTCCATTTATAATGTTAAGACATTACTCCATTGTCTTCCGTACCCTTGTGTAATGAGATGACTGGCCAGGCGCCGTGGCTCATGCCTGTAATCCCAGCACTTTGGGAGACCGAGGCAGGTGGATCACCTGAGGTTGGGAGTTCGAGACCAGCCTGACCAACATGGAGAAACCCCGTCTTTACTAAAAATACAAAATTAGCTGGGCGTGGTGGCGCATGCCTGTAATTTTTAATAGAGACACGGTTTCACCATGTTGACCAGGCTGGTCTCCAGCTCCTAGCCTCAAGTGATCCACCTGTCTTGGCTTTCATCCTTAATGTTCTATAGTTTTGTTACTGTTGGGTTCTTTTGGTGGTGTTTTTTTTGTTTTTTTTAATTTTTCTTTTGAGACGGAGTTTCACTCTTGTTGCCCAGGCTGGAGTGCAATGGCACGATCTCAGCTCACCACAACCCCCGCCTCCTGGGTTCAAGCAATTCTCCTGCCTCAGCCTCCCGAGTGGCTGGGATTACAGGCATGCGGCACCACACCGGGCTAACTTTGTATTTTTAGTAGAGACGGGGTTTCTCCATGTTGGTCAGGCTGGTCTCGAACTCCCGACCTCAGGTGATACGCCCGCCTCGGCCTCCCAAAGTGCTGGGATTACAGGCATGAGCCACTGCACCAGGCCTGTAGTTTATTTTTTTATCCTGCTTGTCATTCAGAGCACACTTTAAAGATCTTTGTCTACAGTTCTGAAAGACTTCAAGCCATTTCCTTTTCAAATATTTGAAAACTGTTCCATAAAATTAATTCTTTCTGGAATAAATTTCTAGTCCAACTTTTAATTCGGCTGTAAGAATTTAAGTGTTGTATTTCTTTTTTTTTTTTTTTTGAGACGGAGTCTCGCTCTGTCGCCCAGACTGGAGCATCTTTAGCATGCAAGTTGGTCATAAATGATAAGAAGGAAAAAAAATAATATAGCATGCGAGGTGGTCATAAACGACAAGGAGAAAAAATAAGGTGGAGAAGGGGAATGGGGAGTGTTGGCAATTTAGATAGAATGTGCACGAAAGGCTTCACTGGGAAATTCTGATTTGAACAAAAACGCACAAAACGTGAGGAAAGCCTAGGAACACAGCACCCGTATTCTTGGGCGTAGAGAAGTTAAGGATGAGGAACAGGAACCAAGAAAAAATCCCAGCGTAAGGCTCCGTTTAAGCGTGGCTCCCTACAAGCGAGGCCGCCGGTCTGTAAACAAGCGACTGCCGCTGCAACCTCCATTTTGCTTCCTGGCACCAAATCTAGGCTGATTATTCACTGCCATCCCTTTCCCACTTCCAGTTTCCTTTCCTCTTCTCTCCTCTCCCTCTCCTCTCTCTTCTCTTCTTTTTTTTCCCTCGAGACAGAGTCTTGCTCTGTAGCACAGGCTGGAGTGCAGTGGCGCGATCTCGGCTCACTGCAACCTCGGCCTCCTGGGTCCACGCGATTCTCCTGCCTCAGCCTCCCAAGTAGCCGGGATTACGGGCGCGCGCCCCCACGCCCGGCTAATTTTTTGTATTTTTAGTAGAGACGGGGGTTTCACCGTGTTGGCCAGGCTAGTCTTGAACTCCTGACCTCGTGATCCGCCCGCCTCGGCCTTCCAAAGTGCTAGGATTACAGGCATGAGCCACCACTCCGGGCCCTGGGTGCTGATTTTCTTCACTTCCGAGTGAACAGCAGAGGGGTCTGTTGGGTGAGGGCCAGACGAGTTGGGGAGGAATCAGGGCGTCCAGCGCTGCCCTCACTCAAGATGGCGGCCAGAGCCTGGCGCTTCGTCGCGTGGAGCGGCGCTTGCGTGCTTAGCTCATAGGCTCCGGCACCGCGCTCGGGGGAGGGACTATAGTGGGAAGGGGACGCGCGCCTCGCGACCTGGCCTCTAGTCATCGCCCTCGCCGCGGCGGCCAACACCTGCGCTCCTGCCACCCCTCCCAGACTGTGGACGGGAGGATGGAGTCGATGGCTGTCGCTACCGACGGCGGGGAGAGGCCGGGGGTCCCAGCGGGCTCAGGCCTGTCGGCCTCCCAGCGTCGAGCCGAGCTGCGTCGGAGGAAGCTGCTCATGAACTCCGAACAGCGCATCAACCGGATCATGGGCTTTCACAGGCCCGGGAGCGGCGCGGGTAAGAGCCTCGATTTCCCTTCTGTCTCCCGCCTCTCCCCTTGAATCTTCAGGGTCATTCTTCCCTCTCCCACCTCCACTCCACTGACCTTTTTGACCAAGCCCTGCTCTTTGACTTCCTCTCTGTCCCGCCCCTTCGGTTATATCCCAAGTTCTCATTCCTGAACCCCAGAGTGTTCCCCAGTCGCTCCCCTCAGTTTTCCCGGAGCCTCGCTGTGAGATTTTCCCCACCCTGCCTGCGGAGCCCTCGCTGTCTCTGCCCAGTTACGTTAACAGCCCCTTTTTTCCTTAGCCACTTCTCGTCTTGAAGGGCGCACGTTGTATCCCCAGACTGTCGTGTCCACTGCTCCCCTTAGGAAGATGGCTTTCCTTGTTAAGGTTCCAAGTGCTTTTCCTTACAGTGCCTTCTGTAGCGTCTACCTTCTTTTGCCTTTTGCTGTGTAACTCTTGTCCGCGCACATCAGCCTGTCTTTACGGAACTGCCCGCTAGTTCGTCCTACGTGTATCAGGGACTCTGTGGTCATATTCTAGTGTCTGTTCAGTGCCCTCAACACTTGTCACCTACGGGCCGGCAAGAAAAGGTGGGAAAAGTGAGAGTGAGCATTCTTCAGAGACCCAGCAAGTGCGACGTGCACCTGAGAGTTTCCTCTCCTCACCAGGGGAGATCGATGTCATTGATGTCTGGAACTGCATTTCTAAAGGAGAGCGCCTCATTCCTCCCCCAAACATATATCCAATGATTTTATTTTAAAAAAATTTATTTCACGTGAGTATAACTGAACAATTAGCACGCCCTAGTGTTTTTCCACTGTTTCCTTTAGTAATTGGTCTTTAGTCAGTGCTCGCAAGCTCCTTAGATCTTTGTGACTTTTGTTCTGGAAGGTTTAGGTGTATAGCTCTGCATTTTTAGATAGTTCAAATGAGAGGTAAGAAAAACATTTCAAATTCTTCTAGAACACTAGAAGAAACATTTCTCTATCAGGCTACTTATTCTTAAAGCATTATTTACAGTATTACCCGAGGTACTTTCTTTTTTTCTTTTTTCTTTTTGTTTTTGAGACGAAGTCTCGCTCTGTTGCCCAGGCTGGAGTGCAGTGGTGCGATCTCCGCTCACTGCAAGCTCCGCCTCCTGGGTTCAAGCAATTCTCCTGCCTCAGCCTCCTGAGTAGCTGGGAGTACAGGCACGTGCCACCACGCCCGGATAATTTTTTGTATTTTTATTAGAGACGGAGTTTCACCATGTTGGCCAGGCTGGTCTCAATCTCCTGACCGCGTGATCCGCCTGCCTCGGCCTCCCAAAGTGGTGGGATTACAGGCTTGAGCCACCGCGCACAGCCGGTACTTTCTATATTTTGTTCTTTTGCTTTGAAAATTTTATGTCTTTAAAGGTTTTGTTTTTTGAGACAAGGTCTCCCTCTGTATCCTTGGCTGGAGTGCAGTGGCATGATCATAGCTTACTGCAGCCTCAAACTCCTGGGCTTAAGCAATCCTGCTACCTCAGCCTCTAGAGTAGCTAGGACCACAGGCGTACACCACAATGCCCGGCTAATTAAAAAAAAAAAAAATTGTGTGTGTGGAGATGGGGGTCTCACTATGTTGCCTAAGCTGGTCTTGAACTTCTGGGCTCAAGTGATCCACCAGCCTTTGCTTCCAAAAGTGCTGGGCTTACAGGATTACAGGTGTGAGCCATTGTGCCTGGCCTTTTTTAAAACAAAAAACAAAAAACAAAAAAAACCACACCAGAGTAGCATCTTAAAACTGCTGAATTACCTACTAATGGTTGTCTGACCACATAAACAATAGCTGTGGGATATGCCACACCCTATGCTCATAGGGCACTGGATTCACAAATCTAATTTTAAAATACAGATTTTAAAATGCCTTACTGATTTTATATTTTTAACCAAATAAGCTAAGGCAGGCAATGCAATCATACATCTGGGATATATTATCCATAAAAAGTTGGTCTTTTCAGTTTGCTCAATCTCTGAATATCTTTCCTAGTTGGTCTACTAATCTTATCTCCTACCCATAAAGTTTGAGTTATTTCCTCTGCAGAATACTCATTTTGGGTGATATATTTTGAGGGTGTAGAGAAAGAAACCAACTTTTTTTTTTTTTTTTTTTTTGGAGACGGAGTCTCGCTCTGTCGCCAGGCAGATGCAGACGGAGTGCAGTGGGCAGTGGCGCAATCTCGGCTCATGGCAACCTCTGCCTCCCGGGTTTCAAGCGATTCTCCTGCCTCAGCCAGAGTAGCTGGGACTACAGACTGCTGGGACTGCAGGCACATGCCACCACACCCAGCTAATTTTTGTATTTTTAGTAGCGACGGAGTTTCACCATGTTGGCGAGGATAGTCTCAATCTCTTGACCTCATGATGCGCCCACCTCAGCCTCCCAAAGTGTTGGGATTACAGGCGTGAGCCACTGTGCCTAGCCGAAACCAGCTTTTCTTTAATGCAGAATCAATATTTATTTATTTTGATTCAGAGACTGCTGAGTTCTAGCTGCAACAGCATATTTTAAAACATAAACATGTAAGGTGTTTGCCAGTATGTAATAAATACATAAGGCTTTTAAATTTCTTTTCTCAGAAGAAGAAAGTCAAACAAAATCAAAGCAGCAGGACAGTGATAAACTGAACTCCCTCAGCGTTCCTTCAGTTTCAAAACGAGTAGTGCTGGGTGATTCAGTCAGTACAGGAACAACTGACCAGCAGGGTGGTGTGGCCGAGGTAAAGGGGACCCAACTGGGAGACAAATTGGACTCTTTCATTAAACCACCTGAGTGCAGTAATGATGTCAACCTTGAGCTCCGGCAGCGGAACAGAGGGGACTTGACAGCGGACTCAGTCCAGAGGGGTGCCCGCCATGGCCTAGAGCAGTACCTTTCCAGATTCGAAGAAGCAATGAAGCTAAGGAAACAGCTGATTAGTGAAAAACCCAGTCAAGAGGATGGAAGTACAACAGAAGAATTTGACTCTTTTCGAATATTTAGATTGGTGGGATGTGCTCTTCTTGCTCTTGGAGTCAGAGCTTTTGTTTGCAAATACTTGGTAAGAAAAGATCTGTAAATTATTAACTAACTTAATGGAAAATGCAAAATGTTAATAATTATGAGTGCTTTTGACCCATAGAAGTCATTGCCAAAATTAATATCTACCGGATCCATGTGGCTGTTTGAAGATACATTATTAACTTTGCTATTCATCTTATAGAATGAAGTGTTCTGGTTAAATACAGAGCCTAATAATTATTGTTGGTCCTCCATATCAGTTGGTTCTGCACCCTATGTGGATTCAACCAACTGTGGATTGAAAGTATTTGGATTTAGCCGGGCGTGGTGGTGCACGCCTGTAATCCCAGTTACTTGGGAGGCTAAGGCAGGAGAATTGCTTGAACCCGGCAGGCGGAGGTTGCAGTGAGCCAGGATAATGCCACTGCACTCCAGCCTGGGTGACAGAGTGAGACCCTCCCTGTCTCAAAAATAATATGTATGTGTATATATTTGGGGAAACAATAATACAATAATAACAAATAATAAATAATACAAATAAAAACAGTATAACAACTGTTTACATTTTATTAGGCATAAAAAAATTTAGAAATGATTTCAAGTATATGGGAGGAATTGAGTAGGTTATATGCAAATACTGTGCCATTTTACATAAGGGACTTGAGCATCTATCAGGAGGAACCTGGTACCAGCCCTCTGCAGATACTGAGGGATGACTGTACTGAAACCCTTTTTTCATGCTATGGACCCTTCTCATTGCTTTGCATATATTAATTCATCTAATCCTCATTCTTATGAACTTGGTATTATTTGAATCCATTGGGAAATGAAGACACAGAGAGGTTAAATCATTTGCCGAAGGTCACACAGCTACTAAGTGATGCTGGGATTAAACCTTAGCAGTTTCATTCTTTAACCAAAGGGTTAAGTGCTTTACATATATATATACTGTATATTATCAATTTTCAAATAATTTGAAATAGTAAAATGCAGTTCCTGTGGTCCTCAATATGAGGTAAATTTCCTATGGTTCAGAAGACATTTCAGCATTTCTTAATGTAGTGTCATAATGAGTCCATTTTGGTTGTACCATGATGTGGTCATTTTGTTTTACAGTATATTGAAGAATGCAGAAAAGCATAGCTCATAGTTCAGTGTCTTGCACTGAGGTTTTTCCATTCAGTAGACATTTTAGGTCTATATACCAGGCACATAAATAAATTATCCAGATAATTAAAGTTTATATCATTAAGCAAAACAGTTTTTTTTAATCTTTTTTTTTTTTTTTTGGAGTTTCTGTCGCCTAGGCTGGAGTGCAGTGGTGCAATCTCGGCTCACTGCAATGTCCACCTCCTGGGTTCAAGTGATTCTCCTGCCTTAGCCTCCCGAGTAGCTGGGACTACAGGCACGTGCCACCATGCACGGCTAATTTTTTGTATTTTTAGTAGAGACGGGGTTTCATCGTGTTAGCCAGGATGGTCTTGATGTCGTGACCTTGTGATCTGCCCACCGCTGCCTCCCAAAGTGCTGGGATTACAGGCGTGAGCCACACCGTGCCTGGCCTAAAATCTATTTTTATGCAGATGTTTTCATAAATAGAACCTGTTGAACAGATTTTATTTGTTTTTCCTTGATGATAACTTGTCAACATAGTTTGCTATAATGCAAAGATCGGTGATGCTTTCAGCATTTAATGAGCTGCCTCTTTTTTGTCTCTATCTGAAGGGCTCTGTGCTTTCATGCTTTTAATGTTATGCCTATTTTTGTGTGAATTTTTTTGTTTTGGTTTTCTGGGTTTTGTAGCTATCAGAGTTTCAACTGTTTCTTACTGCTGTCACCATACTGCCATCTAGTAATGTTTGCTCCTTCACTCGCTTCTTAATGGTTTCATTTTAAAAGTAGTTATGAGGGGCTGGGCACAGTGGCTCACGCCTGTAATCCCACCATGCCCAGCTAATTTTTTAGCAGAGATAGGGTTTCACTTTGTCAGCCAGGATGGTCGTCTCGATCTCTTGACCTCGTGATCCGCCCATCTCTGCTTCCCAAAGTGCTAGGATTACAGGCATGAGCCACCATGCCCAGCCAAGCATTTAGTTTTGTTGTTGTTTAAAACGTTTTAGAGATAGGATCTTGCTGTGGTGCCCAGGCTGGACTAGAACTTCTGGGCTCAAGCAGTCCTCCTGCCTCAGCCTTCTGCATAGCTGGAAGAATGCCATCTATTTTGAGTGCTGGGCCTTGTCTGTGTGCTTCCTGGATGTCAATTAATTCCCTCTGGGTGACGGAGATGTTACTGCATGATGTGTTAAACATCTGTCACTATTTAATACTTTAAATAATTTAAAAGATGAGTTTTTATGAGAGAAGACAGTTTTGGGGACACTAAAAGAATGTGAAAGAATTGTATGACCTGAGAAACATATTTTATGTTAGGAAATCAAATCTTTTATTTTCTTCACCCTTCTGAGGAAACCAGATTACTTTTAACCATTAAAATTACTATTTTATGGGAGACTGAGGCAGGAGAATTGCTTGGACCCAGGAGGCAGAAGTCACAGTGAGCTGAGATTGTGTCACTGCACTCCAGCCTGGGCGACAGAGTGAGACTCCTTCTTAAAAAAAAAAAGTAATTGCTAGGCGAGGTGACTCACACCTGTAATCCCAGCATGTTGGGAGTCCGAGGTGAGTTGATCACATGAGGTCAGGAGTTCTAGACCATCCTGGCCAACATGGTGAAACCCTGTCTCTACTAAAAATACAAAAATTAGCCAGGCATGGTGGCGGGCGCTTGTAACCCCATCTACTTGGAAGGCTGAGGCACCAGTATCACTTGAACCTGGGAGGTGGATGTTGCTGTGAACCAAGATCGTGCCACTGCACTCAGACTGGGTGACAGAGGAAGACTTTGTCTCAAAAAATAATAATAACAATTTTTTTTACAGCTTGTGCTTGGAATTTTATAGCTGCTGTTTGATTTATTGTAATTTGAATGATTATGTTGGAAATATTTAATTTTATCTTCTATCTTCACAGTCCATATTTGCTCCATTTCTTACTTTGCAACTTGCGTACATGGGATTATACAAATATTTTCCCAAGGTAAATTAATTTTTTTTCTAAATTTTGATGATGTATTTGGATTGATTTATGACTAGCTAATTGAAGGAACTTAAAAATGTTAGTCCTACTTATGGTCTGATTCAGTGCTACTCGAAGTGTGGTTTGCCCACTTATCTCTAAACTATGTGTTTGTGTTTGTGATGCATTAAGTTCAAAAAATGAGTAATTGGCCGGGTGCGGTTGTTCACGCCTGTAATTCCCACACTCTGAGAGGCTGAGGTGGGTGGATCACCTGAGGTCAGGAGTTCAAGACCAGCCTGGCCAACATGGTGAAACTCCATCTCTACTAAAAATACAAAAATTAGCCAGATATGGTGACACACACCTGTAATTCTAGCTCCTCAGGAGGCTGAGGCAGGAGAATTGCTCCAACCCAGGAGTCAGAGGTTGCAGTGAGCCAAGATTTTGCCACTGCACTATTCCAGCCTGGGCGACAGAGTGAGACTCTGTCTCAAAAAAAAAAGAGTAATTGGAAACTTTTATAGCAATTTGACATTGCCATAACATTGTTATTCTGTTTTACAAAAATATTGGTCTACTGTGAATTGAGGTCCTTCATGAAAGAGTGTGAATAGTACTTGTTTAAGAAAAGTATTAAATTTAATTAGTAAATTTAGTAATTCATTTTGTCTGTAATAAAGGAAATTAATTTAAAAACGGATTTGATTATCTCATTGTACTTCATATTGGACACTTAATAGCAGTGCACTTTATCTCCAGTATTTAGGGCCTGATATTTGCAATAAATATGTGACCAATATTACAGAACAGAATGATGTTGAGAGTCATTGTTTACCTGGCCTGCTTGACTAAGGATATATACAGTTTTATGAGGCTTGGCTTGCTTGACATAGGCGATAGCCTAACTAGTGTGATCAAGTTTTGTGGGAGCTTTTTGCTGGAAAAATGGCTACTTGGCTGTTTATGTGTTATATTTAATGGGCTGACAGACCTGTGCATGATTTTATTTTATTTTATTTTATTTTATTTTATTTTTTTTATTTATTTATTTTTTTTTTTTTGAGACGGAGTCTCGCTCTGTCGCCCAGGCTGGAGTGCAGTGGCCGGATCTCAGCTCACTGCAAGCTCTGCTTCCTGGGTTTACGCCATTCTCCTGCCTCAGCCTCCCGAGTAGCTGGGACTACAGGCGCCCGCCACCTCGCCCAGCTAGTTTTTTGTATTTTTTTAGTAGAGACGGGGTTTCACTGTGTTAGCCAGGATGGTCTCGATCTCCTGACCTCGTGATCCGCCCGTCTCGGCCTCCCAAAATGCTGGGATTACAGGCTTGAGCCACCGCGCCTGGCCTCTGTGCATGATTTTAATGGATTTGAAGCATTTGTATTTTTGAAGGGTCAAATAGGTCAAATACAAGAAGTAAAAGAATAAATAACATTGTAATTTTAATTGAAGCATTTGTTTAGAAATTCACCTTTGAGGCTGGGCGTGGTGGCTCATGCCCTAATCCCAGCACTTTGGGAGGCTGAGGCGGGTGGATCACCTCAGGTCAGGAGTTCGAGACCAGCCTGGCCAACGTGGCGAAACTCCGTCTCTACTAAAAATATAAAAATTACCCAGGTGTGGTTGTGGGCGCCTGTAATCCCAGCTACTTGGGAGGCGAGGCAGGAGAATCACTTGAACCCGGGAGGCAGAGGTTGTGGTGAGCCAAGATCGCGCCATTGCACTTCAGCCTGGGTAACAGAGCAAAACTCCGTCTCAAAAAAAAAAAAATTGTATCCAGAATGAAGATGCTCTCAATGTACTGATAATGGTAAACTCTCCAAGAAATATTGAGAGAAAAAAAATTCAGAATAGAATCTATACTAATTTCTTTTTGAAAAGAAAAAATGTATTACTTGGTTTTGCTTATATATGCATAAACAAATAATATACATGAAATTATTAACAATACTTATGTGTGTGATAGAGATGTATATATGGGTACTCTGTAAATGGAAGAGAGAAAATGGAGACTTTATATATTCTCCCAACATAACAGCATTTTGTTATAGCAGGGTTTTTTTGCTTGTTTGTTTTTGAGACAGAGTCTCACTCTGTCGCCCAGGCTGGAGTGCAGGGTACAATCTCAGCTCACTGCAGTCTCTGCCTCCTGGGTTCATTCTCCTGCCTCAGCCTCCCAAGTAGCTGTGACTACAGGTGTGAGTGATCACACCCACCTAATTTTTGTATTTTTAGTAGAGACGGGGTATCACTGTGTTGGTCAGGCTGGTCTGGAACTCCCAGCCTCAGGTGATCTGCCCGCCTGGGCCTTCCAAAGTGCAGGGATTACAGGCATGAGCCACCACACCTGGCCTGTTATAACAGTTTTTAAACACAAAAGTTGGCCGGGTGTGGTGCCTCACACCTGTAATACCAGCACTTTGGAAGGTGGGCAGATCACCTGAGGCTGGGAGTTCCTGACCAGCCTGGCCAACATCGTGAAACCGTATGTCTACTGAAAATACAAAAATTAGCTTGGCATGGTGGTACAGACCTGTAATCCCAGCTACTTGAAGTCTGAGGCAGGAGAATTGCTGGAACCCGGGTGGCAGAATTTACAGTGAGCCAAGATAGCGCCACTGCACTCCTGGGCGACAGAGCAAGACTGTCTCAAAAATAAATAAACACAAAAGTTGAAAGAATTGTGCCGTGAGCAACCATTTATATAATACCACCTAGATTCTACAAGTAGCATCTTATTATATTACGTATCTATCAGATTTTTAGTTTTCAAACCCAAGATAATCTCTGTAAAGTTTTTCCATCAAATTTTTCTTGATGCATTTCAAAGTATGTTGTAGGTGTACACATCGTTATACCTCACCCCTCTTATATAACATTAACTTACAATTTACTGTTTTAAGGTTCTTTTTTTAAGTAAAAAAAAAATTTTTTTTTAGATGTAGTCTCACTTTGTTACCAGGCTGGAGTGCAGTGGGCGCAATCTTGGCTCACTGCAACCTCTGCCTCCCAGGTTCAAGCGATTCTCCCACCTCAGCCTCCCAAATAGCTGGGACTACAGGCACGTGCCACCAAGCCCAGCTAATTTTTGTATTTTTAGTAGAGACGGTTTCACCATGTTGAGCAGGATGGTCTCTCTCTTTTTTTTTTTTTTTTTTTTTGAGATGAAGTCTTGCTCTTTGGCCAGACTGGAGTGCAATAGCATGATCTTGCTCACATTCCCCTGCCTCAGCCTCCCAAGTAGCTGGGATTACAGGCATATGCCACCACACCCAGCTAATTTTTTGTATTTTAGTAGAGACGGGGTTTCACCATGTTGGCCAAGACAATCTTGATCTCCTGACCTTGTGATCTGCCCACCTCAGCCTCCCAAAGTGCTGTAATTACAGGCATGAGCCACTGTGCCCAGCTGGTCTCTGGTCTCTATCCCTTGACCTTGTGATTCGCCCACCTCCGCCTTCCAAAGTGCTGCGATTACAGGTGTGAGCCGCCGCGCCCGGCCTTTTTTAGGTAAAATTTTAAGGTAAAATTAGTTCTGAGGCCAGGCGCAGTGGTTCATGCCTGTAATCCCAGCACTTTGGGAGGCCGAGATGGGCGGATCACCTGAGGTCAGGAGTTCAAGACCAGCCTGGCCAACATGGTGAAACCCCATCTCTACAAAAATTTGCCAGGCATGATGGTGGGTACCTATAATCCCAGCTACTGGGGAGGCTGAGGTGGGAGAATCGCTTGAACCCAGAAGGTGGAGGTGGCGGTGGGCCGAGATCCTGCCATTGCACTCCAGCCTGAGCAACAGAGCGAGACTACGTCTCAAAAAAAAAGGAAAAAAAAAAGTTAGTTCTAATATGAAGACTAGGGTACCAGCATAATTAATTGATTGTTTGAAATGCTCTTCTTAATTGTACCATTTGATACGTTTGACATCCTGTGAAACCCATACCTCTTTCAAGGTTTATAACTTTGCTGTCACCCCAAGAGTTTCCTTCATGCTCCTTTCCAGGCAGTCCCAGTCCCTATACCCCAAAGATCTTTTTCCCACCATAGATTAGTTGTGTCTGGCATAGTAATTCATATAAGTGGGATCATTCTTGATTTTACTTTTTTCTCCATGCCTTCTTTTATTCTGCATGATATTTTTGAGATTTATCCATGTTGGATAAATCAGTAGTTAATTTCTTTTTTTTTTCTTGGCTCAATAATACTCCATTGTATGACTGTATCCATTTATCTAGTCTCCTGTAGATGGACATCTTGGTTGTTTTCAGTTTTAGGGTATTATGACTAAGAGCTTCCTTGTATGAGGCTTTTTGTGAGCATAAGCTTTCATTTCTCTTAGGTAACTATAGGTTTTTATATTAAAAAAATTTTTAAACCATATGATTGGATTTTGTGATACTAAAGAAAAATTCTGCTTTTTTTTTTTTTTAAGAGGGAGTCTCGCTCTGTCGCCCAGACTGGAGTTCAGTGGCGCGATCTCGGCTCACTGCAACCTCCTCGTTGTGGATTCAGGCAATTCTCCTGCCTCAGGCTCCTGAGTAGCTGGGACTACAGGCACCCACCACCGTGCCCGGCTATTTTTTGTATTTTAGTAGAGACAGGGTTTCAGCATGTTGGTCAGGCTGGTCTCAATCTCCTGACCTCGTGATCTGCCCGCCTTGGCCTCTCAAAGTGTCAGGATTACAAGTGTGAGCCACTGCGCCCAGCCCAGTCTTGCTATTAAAAGTTTTTTGAAAATGTCATCTTGGAAGCATGACATAAATAATAATTAATTATATATACAGTACAATATAAAAACAAGAATATATTATAGCAATATAAATATAAGATATACAGTACAATATAAAATAATATAAAATATAAATTTTATATATTAAAACAGTACAATATAAAAACAAGAAAAATATTACTAGACAGGACATAAATAACTGCTAAATGACTGACATGGATAATGTGTGACGTAGGAGCTCACAGGAGATATAAATTACTCCAGTGTTTTATGTAAATAAAGCACAAGGAGGACTTCAGGGGAAGTAGAATTAAAAACAGGCCTTCAGGCCAAGTGCAGTCTCTAATCCCAGCACTTTGGGAGGCTGAGGCTGGCTGATGGCTTCAGCTTACAAGTTTAAGACCACCCTGGGAAACATAGGGAGACTGTTTCTACAACAGATACAAAAATTAGCTGAGCGTGCGCCTGTGGTCCCACCTACTCGGGAGGCTGAGGTGTCTCTACTAAAAATATGAAAATTAGCCAGGCGTGGTGGCAAGCGCCTGTAATCCTAGCTACTCAGGAAGCAGAGGCAGGAGAATCACTTGAACCCGGGAGGCGGAGGTTGCAGTGAGCCGAGATCGAGCCATTGCACTCCAGCCTGGGCGACAGAGCGAGACTGTCTCAAAAAAAAAAAAAAAAAAAAAAGCAAGACTGATAATCTGCTATTGTCTAGCAGTTTGAAGATTTACATATTATGTGCTCAGTAAATGTTGGTATATTACTGATTGTTTTAAAACATCATTAACAGTTTTTAAATCATTTAGGTTGAAAATAGCAGTATTGATCATGTTTGTATACAGCTTATGTAGTCTGCTGAAACTTTGAAGATTAATTTGAGTCTTTCTCTACACAGAGTGAAAAGAAGATAAAGACAACAGTACTAACAGCTGCACTTTTATTATCGGGAATTCCTGCTGAAGTGATAAATCGATCAATGGATACCTATAGCAAAATGGGCGAAGTCTTCACAGATCTCTGTGTCTACTTTTTCACCTTTATCTTTTGTCATGAACTGCTTGATTATTGGGGCTCTGAAGTACCATGAAGCCTGCAGAACTGAGAAGGAGAAGCTTACAAAAAAAAAAAAATCCTCTTTTATATTGCAGTGTCTCTAAAGGAGGCAAATTAGTTTACACCTTCATGTAATTCTTTTACTTTATTAGAAATAGAATGGCAGATTCTCTGATTTAAAAGGGCTGAGTTTGTATTATTACTGATATGAAGAACAGAGTACCAATGTCATTAATTGATTTTTCTTGTTTAATCAGAATCCTTATTCTGTACCTTTCCTCTAACTTCTCAGATTTGTAATTCTTCTTTTGGGAGCTGAACTAGTGCTTTTAGGAGAACAGATAAACGTAGTCTCAGCCAGCCCTAGAGACTGCTTCTTGTATTTGTGTCATTCTGTCCTCAGAAATGAAGTCATCTGAAAAATAAAATGAAAGAAACTGAATTGTCTAATGTTAAGTCTGCACATTGTAACTTTTCTTGTTGAGTTAGTATCTTAATTTTTACTCCAGCACAAGTATTTAATCAAAGAAATGATTCATACATGTGAAATTGGAAGGTATTTACAAAATTTTTATTGCTGTATACTAAACTCAGAATTGGAACTTTTTGCTTTTGAGTTTTCACTTTTTAGAAGTATGTTTTAAGCAAGCAAAAACAAAATGGGATGTGAAGAATTGAAGCAAGCAACCCAATAGCATAGATGTCCTTTTCCCCCCAAATATGGTCTAGATGAGTTACTATAAACATCGTTTTTATTTTTTTGAGATGGAGTTTTGCTCTTGTTGCCCAGGCTAGAGTGCAATGGTGCTATCTTGGCTCAACGCAACCTCCGCCTCCCTGGTTCAAGGGATTCTCCTGCCTCAGCCTCCTGAGTAGCTGGGATTACAGGCATGCGCCACCACGACCGGCTGATTTTTGAATTTTTAGTAGAGATGGGATTTCTCCATGTTGGTCAGACTGGTCTCGAACTTCTGACCTCAGCTGATCCGCCCACCTCGGCCTCCCAAAGTGCTGGGATTACAGGCGTGAGCCACCGCACCCAACCTTATAAATATCCTTTTAACTAACTTAGTAACTGCCATATTTTGATGGGTTGTCTTCTTAAAAGAATATAAGACTAAAGTGTTATATCACTTAGTGTTACATTTCCTTACAGATTTTTGTATAGTCTAATTTGGTTAATCCTTGTGACATTAAAAACACATACACTTTTTAAAAAATTATTCATTAAGTCTTGATTTCTGTCATTTCATTTTGAACCAGGGTAATGAAGAACAAGTATAATTTAAGTCTATTCCTCTGATTTGGGTTAAAGATTATAAGCACACATTTTTCCTGATTCCATAATGAATCTAGTATCTAAAGGGTTGTAAATCATCCTTAAAGTTGTCACTTCCTTACTCCCTGAGAAGATACTAGTGGTCTTCAATTGCACATTGCACATGTTTACTCTTGCTGCTTTTTTTTTTTTTTTTCCAAACAGTTTCCTGCTGTTGTCCAGGCTGGAGTGTAGTAGTAGCACAATCATGGCTCACTGGAGCCTTGATTGACCTCCTGGGTACAAGTAATCCTCCTGTCTCAGCCTCCCAGGTAACTGGGACCATTCATGCTTGGCTAATTTTTTGATTTTTTGTAGAGACAGGATCTTGCCATGTTACCCAGGCTGGTCTCGAACTGGGCTCAAGCAGTCCTCCTGCGTTGGCCTCCCAAAATGCTAGGGTTACAGGTATGAGCCATTGTGCCTGGCCTGCTTTTGTTTCTTGAAAAAAAAAAAATCATTTAGCCAGCTGACATATGCAAAATTTTAGTTACTGTAGATCATTACCAAATTTATATTTTGAAAACAGTTATATCTATCTATTGGTGCCACTTTTTCTCTTTAACTAATAGGCATCTCCCTGATCATTTGCTTACATTTGTTGAATAATACCAAATAGAAATGAAAGTTTGTTTTGTTTTGTTTTGTTTTTGAGATATACAGTTTCACTCTGTTGCTGAGGCTGAAGTGCACTGGCATGATCTACAACCTCTGCCCCTCTGGTTCAAGCAATGCTCATGCCTCAGCCTTCTGAGTAGTGAGTAGCTGGGATTACAAACATTGCTACCATGCCCGGCTAATTTTTGTAGTTTTAGTAGAGATGGTGGTTTCACCATGTTGGCCAGGCAGGTCTCAAACTCCCTGACCTCAAGTGGAATCTTGCCCGTCTCAGCCTCCAAATGTGCGTGAGATAAAAGTGTGAGCCACTGAGGGCCACCTGAAAGTGTTTTTTTTTCTTTTTTTTTTTTTAATTCTTTTTTTTTTGAGGCAGAGTCTCGGGTCTGTTCACCAGGCTGGAAGTGCAGTGCCGGATCTCAGCTCACTGCAAGCTCCGCCTCCCGGGTTTACGCCATTCTCCTGCCTTCAGCTCCGAGTTAGCTGGGACTACAGGCGCCCGCCACCTCCCCGGCTAGTTTTTTTTGTATTTTTTAGTAGAGACGGGGTTCATCGGGTAGCTAGGATGTCTTGACCTCCTAACCTCGTGATCCGCCGTTCTCGGCCTCCCAAAGTGCTGGGATAAAGCCTTGAGCCATGCGCCCGTGGAAAGTTTCTTTATTTGAGACAAAGGTCTCACTATGTTGCCCCTGTTGGAGTGGCAGTGGTGTGATCAGGGCTCACTGCAGCCTTGCCCTCCCAGGCCAAGCAATCTTTCCACATCAGCCTCACAAATAAGCTGGACCACAGGCATGGTGCACCACCCCCTGGATAATTTTTTTTTTTTTCCAGAACAGAGTCCCACTCTTGCCCAGGCTGGAGTGCAGTGACGTTGATCTTGGTTTACTGCAACCTCTGTCCGCCCCCCTTGCTGGTTCAAGCGATTCTCATGCCTCAGCTTCCCGAGTAGCTGGGATTACAGATGTATGCCTCCACACCTGGCTAATTTTTTGTATTTTTAGTAGAGACAGGTTTCACCATGTTGGCCAGGCTGGTCTCGAACTCCTGGCCTCATGTGATCTACCCACCTTGGCCTTCCGTAGTGCTGGGATTACAAGCGAGATTACTACTATGACATTTGAGGCTGGGATTACTGTGCCTGGCTTGGGAATTGAAGTTTCTTAGTGTTTGGAATAGTTTAAAACGTTTTTTATTTAGAAATTTCTGGGTTTTCAAATGTATATGGATTGGCCGGGCACCATGACTCATGCCTGTAATGCCAACACTTTGGGAGGCGGAGGCGGGTGGATCACTTGAGGTCAGGAGTTTGAGACCAGCCTGGCCAACATGGTGAAACCCTGTCTCTACTGAAAAAAAAAAAAAATACAAAAAATTAGCCAGGAGTGGTGGCGGGCGTGTCTGTAATCCTAGCTACTTGAGAGGCTGAGGCATGAGAATCACTTGAACCCAGGAGGCAGAGGTTGCAGTGAACTGAGATCGTGCCACTGCACTCCAGCCTGGGCAACAGAGTAAGACTCTGTCTCAAGAGAAAAAAAAAAAAAAAGGGTATATGGATTAAAACTAGAGTGACAAGGATGGTTGTTTAGAGGTGACAACTTGACTATGTTACCTGGTAGTTTTTTTAGTTCAATTAGTTGTGTAAATGGATATGTGTCATCACAGTTGGCACTAAAAACAGCAAGAGGGTTATAAGATATTCAATACTGGGTTAGTAAGTCAAGTCACAGTCAAAATCTGCTGCTTTGGAAGACAGGTTAGTTTACTAAAAGTGATGTATTGGAACACAGACTATAGTCATTTCTTTTACCTGTCTGATTGATAAAACCTTCCAGCCAGGTGTGGTGGGTGTGGTGGCTCATGCTTGTAATCCCAGCATTTTGGGAGTCCGAGGCAGGCGGGCAGATCACTTGAGGTTGGGAGTTCGTGACCAGCCTGACCAACATGAGGAAACCCCGTCTCTAATAAAAACAAAATTAGCTGGGCGTGGTGGCGCATGCCTGTAAGCCAGCCTAGCTATGCACAGGCATGAGGCAGGAGAATTGACTTGAACCCGGGCGGAAGGCGGAGGTTGCAGTGAGCCAAGGATCATGCCATTGCACTCCAGCCTGCAACAAGAGTGAAACTCGTCTCAATAAAAAAGAAAAAAAAAAAAACCTCTTCCTCGAAGTACAGACTGTATGTGAATTAAACATATTGTGTGCGAGTGCGGGTGGGCACACATGTAATCCAGCAACTGCTGGGAGGGCCAAGTGAGACAGATGTCTTGAGGTCCAGGGTCAGTGAGTTTGAGAACCAGTTGGCAACATGGCAAAACCCTCTCTGCGTGAAAAAACACAACAGTTAAGCTGGCGGGGTGGTGGTGTGCCTGAGTCCAGCTACTAGACAACTTGACGACGAACTAAAAAAGAAAAATATACTTAAACTGGGAGGAAGGGTTGCAGTGAGACCGAGACACCCTACTGTACTCCAGCCTGGGCCAACCAGAACAACGCCTAGCTCCACCAAAAATATATATATACTATCATTGATAATTAACTGCTACGCCAACATGATATTCATATAGACTTAAATACAATTTAAACTGTACATAGCACATACAAATACATAAGTACATACCAATATAGTACTTTTATATAGTTATATATAGTATAGTTATTAAGAAATATTTGGACCGGCGTGGTGGCTCACCCTGTAAAGCCCAGCATGTTGGGAGCCGAGGAGTCGGATCACCGAGGTCAGGAATCGAGACATCCTGGCTTCTAACCACAGTGAAACCCGTCTCTACTAAAAAAATGCGAAAAATTAGCCGGCGCGAGGCGGGGCGCTTTTTGTAGTTCAGCTACTCGGAGCTGACGCAGGAGAATGCGTGAACTCCGGAGAGGCGAGCTTGGCAGTCAGCCGGACGATCGCGCCCACTGCACCGCCAGCCTGGGCGACTAACGCGAGACTCGTCTCAAAAGAGAGAAAAGAAATATTAAGCGCCCAGTTAGAATTGGTCATGTAATTGCTCTAAAGACGGGAGTTGGACGTGCGCCCGCGGCGTTCTGGCTGCTCAAGCCTGTAATCCCAGCACTGTTGGAGGCCGAGACGTTGGGCATCCACAAGGTCAGGAGATCCAGACCATCCTGGCTAACATGGGGAGAACCCCCGTCTCTCACTAAAACACTACAAAATACGTAGCCAGGGCGACGTGGTCGGCGCGCCTGTGGGCGCAGCTACTCGGTACGAGGCTCGAGGCAGGAGAATGCGCGTAAAGCGGAGGCGCCGGCGGGAGGCTTGCGTGACGCGTAGACCGCCACATGCACATCCTGGGCCGACAGAGCGATAGACTCCGCCGAAAAAAAGAAAAAAAAAAAGGGGAGTTGGAAATAAAGTATCTTGAAGAGAGCTCTGGCCTAAGTGTCAGATCTCTGGACTCTAGTTCTAGGTTAGATTCCAACAAGTTTAGTGATCTAGGACTAAATATGTTTCCTGAGTCTCAGTTTTGTTACTTAAAATCCAGAAGTTTGAGTTTGTGATTTTA